GTAATATATAATACACTGTGTATATAAATACATGATGACGGTAAGACAATATATAATACACTATATAAATACATGACGACGTTAAGGAAATATATAACACACTGTGTATATAAATACATGATGACGGTAAGGTAATTTATAATACACTGTGTATATAAATACATGATGACAGTAAGGTAATATATAATACACTGTATATTTAAATACATGATGACGGTAAGGTAATATATAATACACTGTATATAAATACATGACGACGGTAAGGTGAATACACTGTGTATATAAATACATGATGACGGTAAGGTGAATACACTGGGTATATAAATACATGATTACAGTAAATTAATATTTAATACACTGTGTATATAAATACATGATGACAGTAAGGTAATATTTAATACACTGTGTATATAAATACATGACGACGGTAAGGTAATATATAATACACTGTGTATAAATACATGATGACGGTAAGGTAATATATAATACACAGTGTATAAATACATGATGATGGTAAGGTGATATATAATAGACTGTGTATATAAATACATGATGATGGTAAGGTGATATATAATAGACTGATATATAATACACTGTGTATAAATACATGATGACGGATAATACACTGTGTATATAAATACATGATGACGGTAAGGTATATATAATAGACTGTGTATATAAATACATGATGATGATACATGATGACGGTAAGGTTATATATAATACACTGTGTATATAAATACACGATAACGGTAAGCTAAGGTAGTATATAATACACTGTGTATATAAATACATGATGACAGTAAGGTTATATATAATACACTTTGTAAATAAATACATGATGATGGTAAGGTTATATATAATACACTGTATATAAATACATGATGACGGTAAGGTTATATATAATACACTGTATATATAAATACAAGATGACGGTAAGGTAATATATAATACACTGTGCAATCTAATAATGTATACCTTAAGTGTTTAACACAATTCTGCATATTGGATATCAACCCTCATTTTATTTTTAAAGTATTTCCTGTGTTCTGTAGGAAGATCTCGAATGGGGGCTCAAATTCCAGTTAATGAAGAAACCGATGAAACAGGTTGGTCAAACATATTATCATTATTATTGAATTATCGTTTACACTGATACCACGCTGTATGGCTGCCTAAACCAAACTATTGCTTGTATTATACATGTGCATATGGTTTTACGTGCGATAAGTGCTTGCTATAGGGAACGATATACAAGATAGAAAAAAACGCTCAAATCTAAATAAGATTGGTACAATAGAATGATTTCTTCCTATTAATATGCGAGTACCTGTACATGCGTGTGATCCGGTTTGAAGACTCGAGGGGAAAAGCTCAGTGTTGTGGTATATTTGTCACAACAAGTACAACCTATTAAAAGTGGTTAAGACTTCACAATTGGAGGGAAATTTGAAAAATGTGAAAGTACAAAAATCAAATCTGCTGTGATCGGTAAAAGATATGATTTTCTCTCTCTTTTAGCTTCCTTCATTATAATTTCTCGGATAGCAATTTTATTCAGAGATGAATCGTTAAAAAGAAAACAAAAATATAAATGTTCAAGGCTCTCTAAATTTTAAGTGAAAGGCAAAAATACATTCAATTGTTTCTTTGTGGCTTCAGCATAAACTTGATTTACCATGTGAAAAACTACACATATAAAGTATATTCAAGAGTATTTGATGCTCCAACTTTAAATGACAAGAGAGATATATGAAGAATCAACCATATATTTCCATCACCTCAGAACAGCTTACTCGAGTAATGAAATGTATTAACAGTTGACCTCGAGATTGTGTGTGATGAGATAATAACACGCTGTAAAACTGCAGTAAGTATGTATTTGAAGTATGGTCAAAGTATAATGTAACATGACTGTATGACATGATAGTAATCTAGTTCACGTGAGAGTCTTAATATGGTACACGACATGATAGTAATCTAGTTCACGTGAGAGTCTTAATATGGTACACAAAACATTAAATTAATGAAGTCATATAAGAATTTCATGGAAAAACTAACTTACTTTGAAACATTTGATAAAACATTAATACATGTTAAGAGGTGATGATACGACTGGTTGAAGTATATTATCTAGTTCACTGTGGATATTTCAGATAATAAAAGCTATTCCATAGGTTATTGTACCATCAACAGAAAATTTAACCATATTTGTTTGCTATTTCAGAAGATGATTACATGCCATCAGGCGATACTTGGCGGGAGAAGTTATTCTCGTGGAAAGAGAGACTAACACTGTTTCTGAAACATAGTAAGTATGGATACTGGGTCTGGATATCTAGTATTTAGGACCTGATGGTTACAGATACAGTATACAGTTCCGAGAGCTGCGTTTTATGTTTAAATGAGCATTTATCCTTTCTATGCTTTATGCATATAAGTATAAACCGCTTTGACATCCACAACACATTACATGATTGTAAACGTGTACATATAACTTTTGATCGTCCACTCTTGTAATAAGCTGATATACTACAATAACAAATCTTAACATATATCTACGTGAGACCCAGTGATATTAAATGTATACCACTACAAAATACAGTATATTACACATATACCTGGCACTATATATTGCGGTATGAAAGAGAACTTACACGTTTAACTATTGTTTTGACATCAGGCAATAGACTGCTACATTAACCTGATTCACACACCTCTCTATAATACTTTGACAGAAAGGAAATTACATTATATTGATTCATAATACTCTTATTATTTATTATTATTGAGAGATTAGAGTGATACATTCTTTTTTTGTTTTTGTTCTTTTTTTACTGCGTCAATCAAATATTTTAACTACATTTTTACAAAGGTCCTTGAGGAAGATGTACCGTACAGATCATTTATCAGATGGTTCATTCTAAAAGAAGACTGACATTTTCCCATTTTTACCAGATCTTGTTCGCTGCATTTTGGGTCAACATGTAGACCGAATATAAATCTTAATTTCTAAAAAAAAACAGTTAATAAATGATTCCTGGGAATGTTATAACGTTGTCACATTAAAGATATATATTTTTTTAATCAACAGGATACAGTTATTTAAACCTGTCACAAGAACATTTTTAAAAATGCCAAATAGGAAAGTAAACTGATATATACTACAATAGGAAAATAAGGTTATATAAATACATGATGACGGTAAGGTAATATATAATACACTGTGTATATAAATATATGATGACGGTAAGGTAATATATAATACACTGTATATAAATACATGATGAAGGTAGTTAATATATAATACACTGTGTATATAAATACATGATGACGGTAAGGTAATATATAATACACAGTGTATATAAATACATGATGACGATAAGGTGATATACAACACACTGTGTATATAAATACATGATGGCGGTAAGGTGATATTTAATACACTGTGTATATAAATACATGATGAAGGTAAGGTAATATATAATACATAGTGTATATAAATACATGATGACAATAAGGTTATATATAATACACTATATATATATACATGATGACGGTAAGGTAATATATAATACACAGTGTATATAAATACATGATGACGGTAAGGTGATATATAATACACTGTGTATATAAATACATGATGACGATAAGGTGATATACAACACACTGTGTATATAAATACATGATGACGGTAAGGTAATATATAATACACTGTATATAAATATATGATGATGGTAAGGTAAAATATAATACACTGTGTATATAAATACATGATGACGGTAAGGTAATATATAATACACTGTGTATAAATACATGATGACGGTAAGGTGATATTTAATACACTGTGTATATAAATACATCATGACGAGAAGGTGATATATAATACACTGTGTATAAATACATGATGACGATAAGGTAATATATAATACACTGTGCATATAAATACATGATGACGGTAAGGTTATATATAATACACTGTATATATAAATATAAGATGACGGTAAGGTAATATATAATACACTGTGCAACTTAATAATGTACCTTAAGTGTTTAACACAATTCTGCGTATTGGATATTAACCCTCATTTTATTTTAAAGTATTTCCTGTGTTCTGTAGGAAGATCACGAATGGGGGCTCAAATTCCAGTTAATGAAGAAACCGATGAAACAGGTTGGTCAAACATATTATCATTATTATTGAATTATTGTTTACACTGATACCACGCTGTATGGCTGCCTAAACCAAACTATTGCTTGTATTATACATGTGCATATGGTTTTACGTGCGATAAGTGCTTGCTATAGGGAACGATATACAAGATAGAAAAAAACGCTCAAATCTAAATAAGATTGGTACAATAGAATGATTTATTTCTTTTAATATGCGAGTACATACAAACTGGTTTGAAGACTATGCAAAACAAGCTAATTGTTGAGATATACATTTGTAAAATATTAAATTACGAACAAAAGTTGTTCTACTGTGATCGGCAAAAGATATGATTTGTACATCAATGTTTTTTCATTTTTTACAGTGTGTAAAATTTGCATGGAAAATCCAGTGGACACCAAACTTATTCCTTGTGGCCACACATGCTGCAAGACATGCGTGCATAGCCTACAATCATGTCACGTATGTAGAAGATCTGTAGAAACAACATATTTAGTTATACAAGGATAAAAGAAAATTGAATAATAAAACAAAGACATACCACTCGTTGTCCTTGGGAGAACTACCACCATTTCTTCAATAACCTGCTCGTCTGAGAGGAAACTGCTATCATTGATACTATGACAAGCTGCTCATCAGAAAGAACTACCAATATTTATACCAAGACCAGCTACTCGTCCGAGAGGGAACTGCCATTATATACACAATTGAAATCTACATGTCCTAGAGGGAACTACCATCATTTACAAAATCAAATGATACTTATCCGAGAGGGAACTGCCATTATTCACCATGACAAGCTTCTCGTCTGACGAGAGGGAACTGCCATTATTGATACTATGACAAGCTTCTCGTCCGAGAGGGAACTGCCATTATTCCCCATGACAAGTTTCTCGTCTGACGAGAGGGAACTGCCATTATTCACCATGACCACCTTCTTGTCTGATAGGGAACTGCCATTATTGATACTATGACAAGCTTCTCGTCCGAGAGGGAACTGCCATTATTGATACTATGACAAGCTTCTCGTCCGAGAGGGAACTGTCATTATTTACCATGACAAGCTTCTCGTCTGAGAGGGAACTTCCATTATTTATACCCTGACAAGCTACTCGTTTGAGAGAGAACTTCCATAATTTATACCCTGACAAGCTACTCGTCCGAGAGAGAACTTCCATAATTTATACCATGACAAGCTACTCATTTGAGAGGAAACTGCCATAATTTATACCATGACAAGCTACTCGTCCGAGAGAGAACTACCATAATTTATACCATGACAAGGTACTCTTCCGAGAGAGAACTACCATCATTTATACCATGACAAGCTACTCGTCCAAGAGGGAATCATTTACACAATGACAAACTACGCATCCGGGAGAAAACAACCAGCCTTTATACCATGACAACCTACTCGTCCGAGAGAGAACTATCATCATTTCCATAATGAAAAGCTTCTCGTCCGAGAGAGAACTACCATCATTTACGCAATGAAAAACTACTGCCATAATTTTCCATGATAAGACATTCATCTATAGTGAGCTACTGTCACTTGCACCATGACAGGAGACAACCTCATAAAGACAAAACCATAACAAGTTTATCCATCTATTTACCATAGCCAGCTATTCGTTCTAGAGGGACTGCCATTATTTACCAAAGCCAGCTTCTCGTCCCAGAGGGTACTGCTGTTATGTACCACAACCACTTTCTCGTCTAAGACAGAACTGCAATTGTTTACCATAATCAGCTACTCGTTCTAGAGGGACAGAAATCCTTATGTGAGATTCTTCATGCCTAATTTGTGTATTATTTACAAAACAAGCCACTCGTCCTAGAGGGGACTATTATTATCTACCATAGCCAGCTACTCCTCCTAGAGGGAACTGCCATTATTTACCATATACAGCTACTCGTCATGGAGGGGACTGCCAATATATTCATTGCCAGCTACTCCTCCTAGAGGGAACTGCCATTATTTACCATAGCCAGCTACTCGTCATGGAGGGGACTGCCATTATTTACCATATACAGCTACTCGTCATGGAAGGGACTGCCATTATTTACCATATACAACTACTCGTCATGGAGGGGACTGCCATTATTTACCATATACAGCTACTCGTCATGGAAGGGACTGCCATTATTTACCATATACAGCCACTTGTCATGGAGGGGACTGCCATTATTTACCATATACAGCCACTTGTCATGGAGGGAACTGCCATTATTTACCATATACAGCTACTCGTCGTAGAGGGAACTGCCATTATTAACCATAGACAGCTACTCGTCCTAGAGGGAACTGCAATTATTAACCATAGCCAGCTACTCCTCCTAGATGGAACTGCCATTATTAACCATAGCCAACTACTCGTCATGGAGGGGACTACCATTATTTCCCATATACAGCTACTCGTCATGGAGGGGACTGCCATTATTTACCATAGCCAACTACTCGTCCTAGATGGGACTACCGTTATTTACCATAACCAGCTATACTCGTTATGGAGGGGACTGCTGTAATTTACAATAACCAGCTACTCGTCATGGAGGGGACTGGCATTATGTACCATATACAGCCACTCGTCATGGAGGGGACTGCCATTATTTACCATATACAGCCACTTGTCATGGAGGGGACTGCCATTATTTACCATATACAGCTACTCGTCCTAGATGGGACTACCGTTATTTACCATAACCAGCTATACTCGTTATGGAGGGGACTGCTGTTATTTACAATAACCAGCTACTCGTCATGGAGGGGACTGGGATTATGTACCATATACAGCCACTCGTCATGGAGGGGACTGCCATTATTTACCATATACAGACACTTGTCATGGAGGGGACTGCGATTATTTACCATATACAGCTACTCGTCCTAGATGGGACTACCATTATTTACCATAACCAGCTATACTCGTTATGGAGGGGACTGCTGTTATTTACAATAACCAGCTACTCGTCATGGAGGGGACTGGCATTATGTTCCATATACAGCCACTCGTCATGGAGGGGACTGCCATTATTTACCATATACAGCTACTCGTTCTAGAGGGACTGCCATTATTAGCTCACCTGGTCCGAAGGTCCATAGTGAACTTATGCCATGTCGCATTATAATTTGTCCGAGGTCGTCCGTCGTCAAATTTTTCTTTAAATCCTATCTCCTCCTAAACGCCAAAGAGGATTTCAACCAAATTTAGTCTGAAGCATCACTAGGTGAGGGCAATCATTTCTGAAATAAATGAGGTTGGTTCGACCCCTGAGGCTAGGTGGGTGGGGCCCCTTAAGGGGAACATAGCTAAATTTGCTTTAAAACGCATCTCCTCCTAAACACCAGAGAGGATTTCAACCAAATTTAGTCTGAAGCATCACTAGGGGAGAGCGATCATTTATTCAATAAATAAGGTTGGTTCGACCCCTGAGGCCAGGGGGGCAGGGCCCTGAAGGGGAACTTAGCTAAATTTGCTTTAAAACGCATCTCCTCCTAAACGCCCAAGAGGATTTCAACCAAATTCAGTCTGAAGCATCAGTAGGGGAGGGCAATCATTTCTTAAACAAATGAGGTTGGTTCTACCCCTTAGGCCAGGGGGGCAGGGCCCTGAAGGGGAACTTAGCTAGATTTGCTTTAAAATGGGTCTCCTCCTAAACACCAGAGAGGATTTTAACCAAATTTGCTCTGAAACTTCATTGGGGGAGGGCAATCATTTCCTAAATAAATGAGGCTGGTTCGACCCCTGGGGCTAGGAAGACCGAGCCCCAAAGAGGAAAATTATCTAATATTTTGCTTTAAGATGCTAATACCCCCCTAATTGTACAAAATTTGGTCAAAACAATTATTGAGGGAAAATAAACATTTCTTAATTGAATGAGGTTGATTTGACCCCAGCGGTCCTAAGAAATGGTACAGCTAGATTATCATATTATATGGTGTAGTTTTCATAAATTGTTAAAAGGTTTCTAGGTTTATAAAAGCTTATAGTTGAATGAAAATTAAGGTATTGTCGAATTACACCCTGTAATATGACATATTACTTATTTCAAAATCTGTTAACATGGCAACTCAATAGAGGCCCCTGATTAGTTGAAAGTCAGATATTGTGGTCCCAGTCGGGTTAGAACATAGATCTTGTCTGGTTTTGAGGAAATTTCATATAAAGATGTACTAATGCATTCAGTTGTAATGACTTATATATAAAACCAGGTGAGCGATACAGGTCCAATGGACCTCTTGTTCACCAAAGCCAGCTACTCGTTCTAAGGGGGACTGGCATTATGTACCATATACAGCTACTCGTCCTGGAGAGGACTGCCATTATATACCATATACAGCTACTCGTCATGGAGGGGACTGCCATTATTTACCCTATACAGCTACTTGTCCCCTAGAGGGAACTGCCATTATTTACCCTATACAGCTACTCGTCCTTGAGAGGACTGCCATTATTTACCCTATACAGCTACTTGTCCTGGAGAGGACTGCTATTATGTACCATATACAGCTTCTCGTCCTGGAGAGGACTGCCATTATTTACCATAGCCAGCTACTCGTACTAGGGGAAGACCGACTTCCATAGAGAAAGCTTTCATCATACACAGCATGATATTGTTTATAATCATTTACACAATGAGAAGTTACTCGTCTTTGAGGGAACTGCTATTTTTTACCATGGCTCATCTTTGGGCATTTTTCATCGTTTTTACCATAATATTATACTTGTCCCTAAAGTGATTTTTTTTCTATTTTGAACAACAAACCACATTGTTTTGCAATATACCAAGGTTGATTGATCACAGGGCAACAAATGTCCAGGGACTTTATGTGGTCATGACACTTAAGGTATGATGGAGTAATGTAGATCAATAGTTATAATTTATTTAATTATTGAAAAATTAATAATTTATTATGAAATACCAAAATGCCACATATTTGTATCCTGTGAACTAGTGTACTTTGTTATCATATTTAATGCCCAACTGCACATTCATTTAAAACAAATATGTATAAACTACATTAAATAAACCAACAAACCCATGCCTGTAGATACAAATGTGGTGTTAGAGTGTATGAGTGAGTGATTGAGATTATTTTGTGTTCTCATATAATTATTTATGTCTTTTTGTGTTTTCATATTATTATTTTTTTTTATTATTAATTTTTTTTACATATTTTTTTTTCTGTTTTCTTTTAGTTAATTTTCTATTTAATTTTCCAACTCATCTCAAGACATGTCTATTTCAAATAAGTCCTGGTACATTTCTTTATCAGCATACATGCATGTATCAGTTTTGCCTTATTTCATGTTGCCGTAGCAAATTTAAGTTGCTCAAGTTCAAGACGTATATCCATATATTTAATTCGATTTGAATACTGTGTATATTCATAACAGTATATTTAATTCTTCTTGACACAAATTTTACAACTATATTAAATATTAATATCGCAAAGTTTGTAATTTTTTTTCTCCAAGGAGATTTTTTTTTCTTTTTCTGTAGAAACATGAAAATATTAAGCCAGCCTAATTAAATGTATATTACCTAGCAATAAATGTATCCATGTGTCATGAGATGAGTTGAAATAAAATGTATGTATGTAAATATTGTATTCAATGTCTTCCAATATCAAAAGTATGCTGGAAGCCATGGAGAGAGCTTATATAGGCAAAGCCTGTTGCTCAATCCTTGTTTAATCAATAAAATATATTTGAAATGAAACATTGTTTTGCAATTTTTCTTTACATTTGGTGGTAGTGACTGATATAATTTGCACCTGCCATTAAGATATAACAGAAAAATCTCGCCCTGAGGGGTGATATTTTAAATTGTACAACCCAATTAGTGTTTGCTTCAAGCTGAATGTTAGATATTCAAAACTCTCGCCCAAGGGTTGAATTTGATAATGATATATCCTCGCCACATAAGGATGATTTTTTTCTCCGACCTTATCTGTTATATGTTCAAAGACAAGTTTTTTTTATTCTGATTTGCATATGACCTCTCCCGTTAGAAGCTGATTGTTATGTCATATTTTATAATTCCAGTGACATCATCGCATTGTTTAGTTTGATATTACTTTTATTCATTCTGTTTTACTGTATAGCCCTTATATCACATTATGTAACTGGGTTTGTACAATAAGGAATAAACGCTCTTACCTGTTCATAGTGCCTTTGTTTTCAATATCCACACCAGTAACTTGAGAGGTTTCAAAATTCAAAGATGATAATCCCTTCGACATTATTTTCATCAACACCAATTGATTAGGGAGGCTGAAAATCCTAACAGAGGCTCTAGTGAACGTATTTGGGGGTGTTTGTTTTTGTAAAGGGGATGGAGGCAACTCCTAAAACCTGTGATCTTACGTGGAGCAGAAATATAAACTTTGATGATGGGATCAGACAGTCATATGATGTGACATAGTTCTGTAGATAGAATACAGGAGAATGTCTTCTGTTTGAAAGAAACCTGTACCCCCACAATGTTTGAAGTAAGTATTTTTGGTAACTTCCATGAAACTGACTGACTGATTGGTGTATTTATGTGAAAATCAGTTTTTATGGTAATATAACGGTGACATTCGGACGAGAAAAAAAACATTTGAAGTAAGAACTTCTGGTAATTAAAGTAGTGAAATAATGATGGCAAATCATACTTAAAATGAATTAGAGGGATATCACGTCACCCATTCACACTAAAGCTGAACTAGAGGTAATCACGTCTTGAACTCGTACTAAAACTGAACTAGAGAATATCAAATCACAAACTTACACTAAAGCTGAACCAGAGATATATCACGTCACTCATTTACACTAAAACTGAACTAGAATTATATCGCGTCACTCAATCATACTAAAACTGAACTAGAATTATAACACGTCACTCAATCATACTAAAGCTGAACCAGAGGATATCGCGTCATGAATATTTCGGCTGCACTAGAAGAATATCATGAAGGAATCAACCGACCAGATAAAAAAGGCGACTAGTTATTTTGTGTACTGAACACAATATCTTGTCAGTATGATCGAGTACACCGGGGAAAATCACAAGCCTGGATTTAAACTATTATAATTCTATCTCTCGGTAACTTCCAAGGGCGTTGGACGTCTTTTTTTCAACCATGTATCATCCTTATCAATTAGAAATTAACTCTCTCTGTTGCGTATACAAATTAACCGGGTCTATCTGGCACTCTCGGCAGCTTGATGGTTCTGTAAATAATTATAAAGAAACTGCATGTTCCTGGAACACGTAGCATAATATCCTCCATACACCAGGGGTTACGCCCACTCCTCCATACACCAGGGGTTACGCCCACTCCTCCATACACCAGGGGTTACGCCCACTCCTCCATACACCAGGGGTTACGCCCACTCCTCCATACACCAGGGGTTACGCCCACTCCTCCATACACCAGGGGTTACGCCCACTCCTCCATACACCAGGGGTTACGCCCACTCCTCCATACACCAGGGGTTACGCCCACTCCTCCATACACCAGGGGTTACGCCCACTCCTCCATACACCAGGGGTTACGCCCACTTTCGTTCTCTGCACCCTGGAATAAAAGGGATTAGTTGATCCTTTGATGTACATCAAAAGAATCTCACAGCCACACGGTAAAATTGACTGGCTTTGAAGTCGCGCATAGCTCCTCTATATTCTTCAAAGGACAGGTATCTGGCTAACGATTGGTTAGGTGTTTTGCCCGAGACCAATCAAATAAATAGTTGCGTGCCTTCCATTCTGCTATGTTGCAGAGAGAGTGAAAATGAGTATTGGAGGATGGTAGCATACAAACTATGGTTGTCAGTATTGTTTTTTGAATCTATGAAAGTGCAACAAAACTTTCATCAGTTTGCAACATAATTGCCTCATATATTGACCTGTTCCCAAGCTCTTCTGTCAATATTTCATGGAAACAATAAAAGCTGAATAGTTATGCTTATAATGTTAAAAATCAGCCACATTTTTTTTTTTTGAAAATTGTCTTTAAAACTCAAGAATACCTCATCAAGTTTATGCAATGGACTAAAATTTGAAATAAAGTTTATACTTTTACCTCAAACGTTTAATCCAGTTTATGCTCAGGACTAAAGTTAGGAATGAAGTTTATACCTATCAAAAAAAATTGAAATTAAGTTCTGCTCGGAGCTGAAATATGAAATCCAGTTTATATCCATAACTTTAAGTTTTTAATGAAGTCGACCTATGACTTATGATTGAAACTAGATTTATGCTTGAAATAAAGTTTATGCACCTAAGTAAAGTTTGAAATAAATTTCACGCCGATAAATAATGTGTGAAATTAAGGTAAAGCTCGGAAGAAAAGTTTAAGCTCAGGATTAAAGTCCGAGATAAAGGTGAAAAGTTTCAATCTGTCATCAACCAAACAATATGTCATCAACCAAACAATATGTCATCAACCAAACGGTATGTCATCAACCAAATAATAGGTCATCAACCAAACGATCTGTCATCAACCAAACAATGTCATCAACCAAACAATAGGTCATCAACCAAACAATAGGTCATTAACCAAACAATTTGTCATCAACCAAACAATACGTCATCAACCAAACAATATGTTATCAACCAAACATTCTGTCATCAACCAAACAATAGGTCATCAACCAAACGATGTCATCAACCAAACAATCTGTCATCAACCAAACAATAGGTCATCAACCAAACAATGTCATCAACCAAACAATATGTCATCAACCAAACAATGTCATCAACCAAACGGTATGTCATCAACCAAACAATAGGTCATCAACCAAACGATCTGTCATCAACCAAACAATGTCATCAACCAAACAATAGGTCATCAACCAAACAATATGTCATCAACCAAACAATATGTCATCAACCAAACAATATGTCATCAACCAAACGATATGTCATCAACCAAACAATCTGTCATCAACCAAACGATATGTCATCAACCAAACAATATGTCATCAACCAAACAATATGTCATCAACCAAATGATATGTCATCAACCAAACAATCTGTCATCAACCAAACGTTATGTCATCAACAAAACAATAGGTCATCAACCAAACAATCTTTTATTGGTTTTACAGGCATTTGGTTTACCTTGTTATAAACACTGTATTAAATAAAGACTGAATTTCTTGTTAGTTGTACCAGATAACGGGACTGGAAACGGACAGGGATTTCATCAGTGCACATCACAACAAAGCTGATCCAATATGTCTTAAGACACGTAAATATTCTCTTATACACTCCACATCCCAATAAATCGACAGAACACTGTGTATCATTTCCATACCTGTATTATAACAAATGATTTTGATTATTACATGCATGTAGTTTACATTACAAATATAAATAGTAAACTTAACAAACACATGTACATAAAAAGATATCATTATCATCATCATAACAAACACATGTACATAAAAAGATATCATTATCATCATCTTAACAAACGCATTCAAAGACATTGTTATCATTATAATAACAAATATATATATACAAAAATATAGTTATTATTATGATAATAAACACGTACAATTATATATATGTATCATTTTCTAATAATCATATATACATAAATATGTATACAAACATCATACTATTGTAATAACAAACCCCAGGTGTAATAGTATTGTACTCTACCAGACTGACAATGTAACATGTTCCAATCCTTAATTGGTAATTGTGTATTATTTGACAATTAACCAAATTACATGAGGAGGGCAAAGTTTGCGCTTGTGACGATGGATTTTAAATGTGAAGGTGAATCTTTGACTGGGCCAAAGTTTCCAGGTATAAACAGTAACGTCACTGTACCCAAATCAGGACACGTTTCAGATAAATATCAATGTTCTTTATACCATACTATCAGTTCCAAAAATGTTTGTTCATTTTTCATAAATAGATACTATCCACTTTTCATTTCTAGTACAAGTTGATATTTCGGGTGCGTGGCTCTATATTTAGAACGCGAAATACTGTCAGAGTTATGTAGACCCTTGAACCTGCGTTACTGTACCCTGAAAGGGACACTTCGGTATTTTGGCGAATATTTGGGGATAGACGATCAATATTGGCAAAAAATATGCATAATTGAAATATTTTAGAGTCAACGAATGTTCTAATTAAATATCTTCTCCAAATCAGCATTAGTTTTGATAAATTGACTTTTGAAAATGATAGCCAAATAAATAGCGTCGCACGGCACATAAATCAGCAAAGTTTTGTTTTGGTAATTATTCTTACATTTAAATTGTCCATGTAACAATGATCAGCAGTCAATAAAGCTTATATACAGTTAAATTGTCATAAAAGTGTTATCAAATGAAAACTGTACACATGAAAGTACTTTGCCTTGCATGACAGTTTCTTGGGCTGTTTTTCCACAAGTGTCCCATTTTGGGTACAGTGACGTTAATTAACTTTGTTAAGTGAAGGTACGTGTGTATGAGATATCTAATAGCATCCACATACATCCACAGATTATAACATCAGCTATAACTATGACACGGACTTGTTGGTGGAGTGAAAACAAGGAATCGGACAACTGTGTCATGTTGTCTAACGAGGTTGTCTAATTACATGCACTGCAGCAGACACCAAAACACATTCCATTACATTTCCAAGTGGTAGAGTAGATATAATTTATATGAATGTTTGTATAATATGGTGCAATACATAATGCAGGCTTCAAAAATGTTAGAAAAACAATTGAGCCCAGGCTAAAGTAGCTTTATAATTTGTTTTAAACATTTGCTCACCATTGATAGATATTCCGCCATGAAACATGCACATATGTTGACTATTTCTTAAATAACAAACACAAACATACACAGATGTTACAATTAACTTATCATACCGGAATTACAAACAAATATATTGTTAGTCGCACCACTTGGTGAATCTTCCAAGACACACAAAACTGTTCATCGGCTAGCAGTCAAATTAACATAATTTCATTAAAAAACAATGCAACCTATTAACCTGAACACTTTTGCTTATAAAAAAATAAGTATGAAGGAATAAAATCCTGGTAAGGAAGGAAAATTTCACTTAAAAGTCAGGAAAAGCAACTTCCTGAATACTGATACATATCAGGAACCAAGTTTCTGATTCCTCTGAGACTTCTTGTTGTTAGTACATGTGACTTGTCAACATACCCCGCTCTCCTCCCTACTCCCACTGAAAACAAAACGTGACCACAAATATGTATAGCCATATCTATATAACAACTAGTAAGACATGTTTCTTACACTAAGCACATTTAAACAATTCCAGATTTTTAAATTACTGAAAATAAATCTTTGAGATTATGAAAGGAAACATACATTTTTTTCTATATAAAATTTTGCCCTTGTAATATTTAAAAGGATATAACAAACAATACTGAAACAATTTTAAAATTGTCTACCTAGCTAACAGAGAGAAATTAGTCAAACAATTAGATTTTATTCGTTTATTAGAAAACAATTTGAATTTATAAATAAACTTAAGGCCTAAATAACTGCTTAAATGTCTCAGGCCATAAGATGAAAGTTATATTTTTTCTACCGTTCTTTTAAATGATTAAATTCGCAAAACAATAGCACAACAGTATGATTACATTTGTGTTATTAAACAACACATGTTAAAAATATGACAGTGTAGTACCAGAAGTTTTAAAAGCACAACTATTTAGCACAGAGTTAAAATGTAAATTGAAAAGACAAATATAACTCATAAAAATCTTGACAGTATACAGCAAAAACCCTTTATACAAATAACAATGCCTTTATACAAATAACAATGAAAGATTTCATAAAAATGATTCAATGCTTCAAGATCAAAATATATGTAACAAATTTTACACACATACACACACACACATAATATATTTAATTACAGACAGCATCCTCTCTCTGATCCGATGTGAAATGATTAAGAAACTCTGTACAAGAATATGTGTTTTGTATTATAGACACTAATCTGAATCAGTAGAATACACTATTTTGACCCATGTTCATAACATCACAAACTTGGTCCTGAATATTACTTATTAGGTTTAACTTTTATACTGTGTTCATTAATTAACAACTTAATCTCAAAATAACACTAGGAAAAAGACATCCCATTTACTGAAAATTTTAAATTGTCATTGGCCAGTATTGGAACACTATCAATGAAACAAAGTAACCTCAAATTATTATTATTATTAGCAAAGGTTGCTCTTCATTTTAAACCAAACAAGGGTACACAATGAGATATGTTGAAATAAATATTATGAACAATAAGACTAGATATATTCATTCAGTAGACACAAATCAAGAAGTCGTGATTAGGTTTTAATAAAACAAAATGGATAAAATAAAAATATGTGTGAAAAATATACACTGCTGAAGTAGTTAGTTTGATAGTTACATGGTGCTGTTCGGAGACATCTAGATTTATCAGATACAGTAGTTACATGTGTTGCTGTTCAGAGACTTCTAGATTTATCTGATACAGTAGTTACATGTGTTGCTGTTCGGAGACATCTAGATTTATCTGATACAGTAGTTACATGTGTTGCTGTTCGGAGACATCTAGATTTATCTGATACAGTAGTTACATGTGTTGCTGTTCAGAGACTTCTAGATTTATCTGATACAGTAGTTACATGTGTTGCTGTTCGGAGACATCTAGATTTATCTGATACAGTAGTTACATGCGTTGCTGTTCAGAGACATCTAGATTTATCTGATACAGTAGTTACATGTGTTGCTGTTCAGAGACATCTAGATTTATCTGATACAGTAGTTACATGTGTTGCTGTTCAGAGACTTCTAGATTTATCTGATACAGTAGTTACATGTGTTGCTGTTCAGAGACATCTAGATTTATCTGATACAGTAGTTACATGTGTTGCTGTTCAGAGACTTCTAGATTTATCTGATACAGTAGTTACATGTGTTGCTGTTCAGAGACATCTAGATTTATCTGATACAGTAGTTACATGTGTTGCTGTTCAGAGACTTCTAGATTTATCTGATACAGTAGTTACATGTGTTGCTGTTCAGAGACATCTAGATTTATCTGATACAGTAGTTACATGTGTTGCTGTTCAGAGACTTCTAGATTTATCTGATACAGTAGTTACATGCGTTGCTCTTCAGAGACATCTAGATTTATCTGATACAGTAGTTACATGTGTTGCTGTTCGGAGGCATCTTGATTTATCTGATACAGTAGTTACATGTGTTGCTGTTCGGAGACATCTAGATTTATCTGATACAGTAGTTACATGCGTTGCTATTCTGAGACATCTTGGTTTATCTGATATTAGATGTGCTGCTCTTCGGAGACGGCTAGGTATATCCGATAATTAGATGTGCTGCTCTTCGGAGACGGCTAGGTTTATCTGGTAGTGAGATGACTCTTCTATAGAGGGTTTCAATCCTGCATACTTAACCTGTATGTTTTTTCCAAGGGCACCAAAAATGAAGAATCCTAATCCTGATCCTACAACAGTCAAAAGAATAATCAAAAGAACAGTTGAAATAACAGTCAAAACAACAATTGAAAGAAAAGTTGAAAGAAAAGTCAAAACAACAATCAAAAGAAAAATTGAAACTCCGGATGGAATTTTAAAAGCCATTGATCTGACCATTTTTGGAGCTGATCTAGATCATCCTGTAGATTTATATTATTATTATAATTGTAAATTTTAGTATCATCTGCGAACAAGTATGTTGTTGCGTTAATGGACTCTGGAAGGTCATTAACATAAATCACAAAGAGAGTCGGCCCTAAAACGCTTGCCTGTGGGATACCACTTGTTACCTCCATTCATTTTGACATTGCTCCGTTTACCGCTGTTTCCGATTAGTTATGAAACTTTGCACCCATTTGATAATTTCTGGTAAGTCATCTTTACTGTCATCAATGTGACATAACAATCTTTACTGTCATCAATGTGACATAACAATCTTTACTGTCATCCATGTGACGCAAGAATCTTTACTGTCATCAATGTGACATAACAATCTTTACTGTCATCAACGTGACAGAACAATATTTACTGTCATCAATGTGACATAACAATCTTTACTGTCATCCATGTGACGCAAGAATCTTTACTGTCATCAATGTGACATAACAATCTTTACTGTCATCAACGTGACAGAACAATATTTACTGTCATCAATGTGACATAACAATCTTTACTGTCATCCATGTGACGCAAGAATCTTTACTGTCATCAATGTGACATAACAATCTTTACTGTCATCAACGTGACATAACAATCTTTACTGTCATCAATGTGACATAACAATATTTACTGTCATCAATGTGACATAACAATCTTTACTGTCATCAACGTGACATAACAATCTTTACTGTCATCAATGTGACATAACAATCTTTACTGTCATCAACGTGACAGAACAATATTTACTGTCATCAATGTGACATAACAATCTTTACTGTCATCAACGTGACAGAACAATATTTACTGTCATCAATGTGACATAACAATCTTTACTGTCATCCATGTGACGCAAGAATCTTTACTGTCATCAATGTGACATAACAATCTTTACTGTCATCAACGTGACATAACAATCTTTACTGTCATCAATGTGACATAACAATCACTGTAAGGTCATAACTGTAAGGTTGTGTTACACTAGGTATATACCGGTATACTACAACAATATGACATATTCAATGCCTACACTAAACAAGAGACTGCAGAAATATCATTTATCATAGCTTTAACCTGCAAAGACTTCCCGGTTTACAAGCACTCACTTTAGATTTTGAATTTTAGAACAGAAATATCACAACTCCACAACGACTCCACTGTGTGTATTCTTAACCTTTGTTGTTTATAATTATATACCACATCCAAACCATGTTATTTACAAAGTCCAACCCAGTGTTTTCGCGGTGCATATCATCCTTAATAACCAAGGTGTTTTATCCCTTTCTTTGTGAAATTTATTACACTGAACTCCAATTTGCATTTTTCATCACATTATGATAACTAAATAATGGAATCAACAGGAAAAGACACCAAACATATGTGAGGTGTTGCTATCGATCAGGCATTGGTGTGGGCATGCTTTATCATTAAAATACACTTTGTATATCACTATATGTATCACCATCAATATGTCCACTGCTAGAATGCCATACAGCAATTTTAAATAAAATGCACCAATCTCTGATTCAAAATTATTAGCAATGAATTGGACTGGAGATCAATCCAAAGTCAGCAGACCATTTCAAATTAAATACCGTCGAGCTAGGTTTATCTCATCATCATTTATATGAATGTCCAGCCGGCATTGTCAGAAATGAAAAGATGTTTCTGGGAACAAAGATTGCAAGAATTATTTTTTCTGGAAACAAAGGAAGGTGACTGGATTATCTATTGAAAAGGTTGACAACTCTGACATTGTAACACAATAAATGGAGCATATACATACCAACAATGACTCCTATGGTGATCCACACATTGTACGTCATCACTGCCAGCATTAGTATATACCCTGTGATGAGGTTAAAGGTATGGGTCAGCATCCCCAGGCAGTGGTACTTAATTCTGAAAGGGAGATCATTCTAGTATCAAGGGAAATAATAACAGGTTACATAAAGTCATTGACCTCAGCATCTAGTTCATTGTATGAATATATAGCATTCTCAGGTTTATATCATATATATTACAATATAGTATATACATCTTTATTTGTTCTTTCTGTTAAGATGTAAAAATATGAAAATATTTCAAGATTTAATAACCACTCCAGCACAAATTATCTTTTCAATGGATAGCAATACAAAATATACTAGTTATCAATGTCTACAACATTATACTTGTCTTAGCATGGCTGTCAACAACTCAACATTATACTTGTCTTATCATGGCTGTCAACAACTCAACATTGTACTTGTCTTATCATGGCGATCAACAACTCAACATTATACTTGTCTTATCATGGCTGTCAACAACTCAACATTATACTTGTCTTAACATGGCTGTCAACAACTCAACATTATACTTAACAGGAAAAGACATGGCTGGCAACAATCATATTTGACTTGTACAATTAATAAATCACATACATTCACAGGTGACAACATCTGCATACTTCACTTTTACAATAATATGCATCATGTTCAGTGCACATATAGTGTCAAAGCAATGCTATTTTTATCAAATGGCATCTAAGTCTATGTTTTTTTGCCATGTAATTTTGTTGTTCATGGAGAGTATCTTTCACTAAATCCATTAATTTAGATGGCATGAACAGACCATCAATCACTAGTAACCTGTAAAGATTAAATTTCGAAAATACCTTCTTGATCGAATTTGTTCTAAACTAGCAGGAATCATCAGTGAAGCAGTAAGATCATCCCGATCATCAAGATCATCTGTGTCTGTCAGACCATAGGTCAAGGGATTCTGTTTGATTCGTGCTGACCAGTACAGCATCAACATCTTTGCCCCTTCCAGTAGGAATGTCAAGGATCCAATCACCAGACATGCCCCAACCAGAGCTGGATGATAAAGGGAAATAACTCAATCATCACCAATAACAGGAATAAAGGTAATAAATTAATTATTATGTTATTTAATCTGAAAATTGCCTTATAAAATAAATGAAATTCATTCAAAAACATTATCTCTGTCATTTCATTAGTGATATAACCTAACATTTGAATCTGTTTTATGTTGGTCAGGTGAACAGCATATTAACTATTGTACATACATGTTATAATCATATATTGAAAACAGAAAGATCTGATGATATCAGTTAATGATGAAATTAACTTACAACTTGTATTGTCAACATCTAAACCCTTGAAAAACAAATTTTTCAAGGGAGCGTCAAAATTGAAATGCCCCTGAAATGAAAATAAAAGATACATTAATCTTTTTAAAGCTATTTTTAAAGTACATTATATATACACTGTAAGCAAGATATATGTACACTAATAAATAGATTCACTTATACTAATTGTAAATTGAATCAACTTGTATCATATTTGTTTCCAAATCATTAAGAATCTAAGCATTCTTGCAAATAATTCCTTGGGTCATTATATTTACACGATCAATACCTCTTTTAGGATCGAATCCAGTAACTTCTGGTTAAATAGTAGTAGTGTAGTACACTGTACTCTATCAAAAGAACAGAAGAAACTCTGTCCCTCGCAGATTCATTAGATTTATTTAGTGGCTAGTATTCTACTAGGGTGATTAGAGAAGATATAATAGGCATAATCACATTTTCACTGGAAAAACTCTTCCATTTTATGACAGCCATGTTTAAGATTACGGTATGTCATGTGATGTGACATTATTTGAAATTGATGCTGATAACAAAAGCATGCACAAACCATATTTACCAGAATAATTATATGTTATGCATGATAACAGGCAATAATTTAAAGATATCTTGTCGCGAGAATAGCACTACAGTGCTAATGTTATTATGTTACATTTATATGCGACGTTAAATAAAGCTTCTTGAATCTTGAACAGGTCCAGTACAGACACTCTGCCGATTGAGCTATATAGCTATAAAGACCTATATAACTATATACACCTATAAATTATAGCTGTATTGAGCTATATTTTCTCAGATTTCAAATTTCATTAAATTAAAGCAAAGTCGCATAAAACAATAAGGTTAATGGTAATGTTGACTACAAAAGCATGCATTTAGATGTTTATTTTCGTTTTTCATAAATGTAAAATTTTCGATTTCTTTACATCATTATTTTTTAAAAAGAATAGACTTATATTTAATGTCTTTTGTTATCAACCTAATGATACAATCATCTTTTAAATGCGACTTTGTTCCATTTTCCTTAAAAAAGAAAATCACTTGAAAATAGCTCAAAAGACCTATTTCAGATAGGTCAATAGAGCTATTATAGGTCTTTACAGCTATATAGCTCAATTGGCAGAGTGTATTGGACCTGTTGAATCTTGAATATATTTAACTGTTTTATTCCAGATATTAAGATTTTATTACACTATATTCGATGCAAAACAAATGCAATCTAAAAAAAATGCTCTTACTTGTGCTTCTTACACACAAAGAAATACGGAACTTAAAAAGCAATATATATATAGGATAGCCCCATATTCCAATTTCCCAACTATTGTGGCATATGGTCAGATGTCAGATGTCAAATATCCCATTTCCTATGGACGATCACAGCTATTTCTCTGAAAGTAACCAATAATTTAATACTAATTACCATTCAAAGCTTCATAAGCTCATCCTCAGGCAAGGTCTTGCATCTAACATCTGTTTAAACCAGACTGGATAAAGAAGTTTCTCACAACCCTGCAGGTTTGATGGCTACCATTTTCTGTATCATGTGACAGGTCTAAATATAGATTACGATTGTGAACTTCCGGTAAATTAAATTTTGTACCGCGTCATTTGATTGGTCACCTATCGAACGGCTCGAAATTCGGATTCGAAAGTGCGATGGAGGACTCATGTTTACATTTTTTGATCGCTGATAGGCCTCACTATCAACGATTATAGTTGCATAGATAAGCCTTCTATCGATTGCAAGATGGATATCAGCGACTATACAGGTACCTTCTCTCCTAGTCAAGAGGTTGCAATGGAAAATTTCGGATCCATCGCCTTCACAACTTCAACACCGAGCAATCCAACCAGGCGAAGTGGACGAAAATCATGGTTTGATAATTTGGGAAACCCGGGGAAGGGTACTAAATATGAAATTGCGATTGAGAAAAAGGTTAAGAGACGATCAGCTGGTCGAAGAAAAAGTGAAGAAGGCGATATTGAAACTCTTACACTGACTCACTTTACAAATCCGCCAAGAATAGGCTTTGGTAGGGCAAAACCGGGAATGATCAAAAGACGAAGTTTAATAATAAAAAATCCACACGATCATCCCCAAGATGTTAAAGTGGAAAAATTCCCATTTAAAAAACATTTTGACATTGACAAGACAAAATTTACTGTGGAAGCAGAGGATACCTTGCTGTTGACAATCACATGGTCGCCAGAAGAAGAAGGGAATTTCAGAGAGATGATTCTGCTTCAGGTTGATGGGTCTTATAGACTGCAGGCTTTTGTATTTGGCTGTGTGGAAAAACCCCCACAGAAGAAGAAAGTGGTGTGTCTATTATCTATGAAAAATTTCAATTAATAGTTATTCACTCAGTAATTGTTAATATTATTAAATGCAAACGTACACATTAGCTAGCAGTTTACCACGGGTGCTTGGGTTCTTGCAGTAGTAAGTTATTAAGGATGGGAACACAGTGATGTGCAATACCTAAATATGTATTATATATATGTTCAAGAACCTGAGCATCTGTGCTGTTGACCCTCAGGGATCCTGGTCTTGTAATTAACGTGAAGGTTCCGAAAATGGAACGATACCCAAATTGGAACACTTTTTCATATAAGCTGATGCAGCATTTTCATTTTACAATACAAATGAATGGCATCTATTCTTAATCAAAGTCCATATAATTTTAATCAATTAAAGCAAGTTTTGTTTGCATTCCTTTTTCATTTTGCTCATAACATCACGCTACCACAATTGGTACAATTTTGACAGTTTTTTAGTGATCTTTAAAAATTCAGATCTTGTATCTGGAATGATTCTTGACAAAGACTACCTATGGTGGTTCATTTTCAGGAAAGTTTTATATCTAATTAATTTGTTTTTGAAAATAGAACGCTAAACTCTGATTGAGATTTCGGACGTAAATAGTACCCAAATTGGTACACCATATCACAGGCTATGGAATTTGTTTTTGTTTCTAATATTTGATGTGCCGATTACAACAAAATATATTGCTTTTATAGATACCATACTGAACTATGTTTGTATATTCCGTCTTTGCATATTGCAGATTTATCTTCTCTTGGGAGCAGGTATTGATTGTTAAGTCATTGGTTTGTGCGAGAAAATTACGTCGTTTTCTCAAAAATTGATGACGTTCCTCTCACAAACAAGTGACGTAACAATCAATCCCTCCTCCCAAGAGAAGATAACTCTGCAATACGCAAAGACGGAATAGTCACTTTTATATTATCCGAATATAAGGAACAGAAATCAACATTTAAACATGCTTATATTTAACCCCTTGAAAATCCTCCAAAATTTCGTCGACGTACAAATGTACGTTGTTTTTACTGGTTTTCTGATATATGTACTTTGAAGTCATCGTATACTCTTAAAATGTTCCTGAAAACGAAACTATTCGGCGGAAATGCTGATAAATATCTCTTTTGTTATACTGTAAAAGGAAAATGCTCAAATTTTAATTTTAATTTTAAAGTACTATTCGAACAATTTTCTGACCGTGTACCAATTGTGGTAGCGTGACATTACATGTATATGGAGTCGATTGGAAAATTTAAAAAAGTGATATCAATTTCCAGGAAACTGCAAGATGTAACAACACAAATAACCTATCACATTTCTAAAATAAACCCCTAAAACTTACTTATGATGTCAGAGTTAAAAGTAACAAGTTAATCCACCACGGCCACATGCATTCTGGTAATACCAAGAAATACATCAAATTTAAGCTAAAGACATCATCATCTATTGTTTCATTATAGTAAAACCTTAGTCTTTTCAAAAAACAATATACTATATAGGAAAATAGATCAGTCTTCACAAAAATACTTTTAAATCTTTAAATATATGTCAACAGTTCATGTTTTACAGAGATGCATCCTTGGAATACATTATCAGGCAACCGTTTAAGTGTGATTAGATTTACAAATGAAAATAGCATCATAAGACTTACACAAGTTTCATACTCAGAAAATATTTATTTGTTTTCATTGATAAAAGAAAGTGTTTGTATGCCTTCTGTTATGGACAATAGGAATAAACTCAGTTACTGTACATATAACATATATATATATTCACCCGTAAATAAACATTCAAAAGGTCACTATAAAGTTTTGAGATGCCAGTAAACATTTGTTCATTTTAAGCTTATGATATTGGAAATCCAAGCCTTAAGTGATCCATTTCGTGTGTTGAAGTTTGTAAAAATAGGAACCACAACCTGGAGATGTTGGATTGTTATTCAAATCTTTTAATTATGTTAGCCAAGGATATCAATTTCAATGCAAAAACACCTCTCAACATTCTTCCGTTGATATTTGTACCATATATTTATATTATTCATCTAGTCAATTTGCAATAAAAGAATAAAATGATGATTTGATGATCCATTGGGTATCCCGACTATCCTCACATATATTTGTAAAATTTTATTTTTAAAATTTACTAAGATTAGCCATTAGGTCTAGAGAAACCAGATAATATATTGTGAGCTTATTGATTATCATTCCTAATACTGTATGTATATATTTTATCCAATGAGTTTATTCTCAAATAGCAAATGCCCTTATTAACTATAAGGTCTCATACAAACTTGTATACATATGTAACTCAACTGGAGAGAAATTATAATTAATCTCTCATTATGTATTTAATACAGTCTGTTTGATTTATGTCTTTATTTGCTATACTCATTTAAGTTATCATCTCCCTTTCAGAAAAAGGGTATATTGGGAAGAGCTATGAAAAAGCCATTTTCCATTATACAGACACCAAGTCTGGCCAATATAGCCAAGTCATACAGCCCAACAAAGGGAGAGACCAGGAGGAGTGGGGAGGGACAAAAGAGGCTGTCAAAGGGAAGAGAAAACAAAGTCCCAGCTCCTATGAAAAAGACACCGGCTAGACACCAGGACAGTTTCCCACCAAAGCAAAAGGAGTCTTTGGTAATACCAAATCAAGTGGTGGGTGGTTGCATTGATTCAGAGTTCCCTATCGGTCACATCACCCCCATCAAACCATTGGAAGACTCCATCAAATCGGCAGAATTTGTAGTTCCAAAGGTGGTGAAAATGCCTGGGAAATCTTCAGTCAAGAAACTCCAGGGTAAAGATCAGGAGGAATTGGAATGTTTGTCCCCTTTAGTTGCTAAATACCTTGATAACAGTGACGATGATATTATTGTGGTCAGGCAAACTATAAACAATGAGGATCGAGCAAAGCTGAATACACCTGATAGAATTATTCTGGCCGACCTCAATACTCCTGACAGGATCCTGTCAACAAACCAGGACACTCCTGATACCATAACAAACATGCCTGGAAGTGAACCACAGAATAGTGATCTGAACACACCTGTCGGTGCTGACCAAGTCAGTGAGAAAACTCCTGATAAGGAAAACCAATGGTTTGACCCAGAACTTAAAGCAGATGCCCTGTCACCGAACAGTTTCCTGCAAGACTCGCTGTGCAGTCAAAGAGGTATTGACACCAGTTTATATGATGTTGGTTCCACAATCAGCAGATTACCAGCCCATTCCACCCTACTTCCGACTCCAGAAAGGATGTCCAGGCCTGATCAACCCATGAAAAATTTCATTAGCCCAAATAAGTTCCTGAAGGAGCTGAATGACACACAAGAAAGACTTGAGCTAAGTTTTCAACACGACCCCAACACTATTCCAAGTCCAGAGTCCATTTTGAACAGTTCAATCCCACATGACATCATGGTGAAACAGTTACAGACTGTCAAAATGTCTTTGGCCACTCAAAATCCTTCTCCTCTGTTTTCTCCCATGTCTTTTGACAACAAAAGGGAAACGTTTGTCCTGAAGTCTGCACTCACTGCTTACCAATCTCCTATGTTACGCAGGGAGACTTTCATTAGAGAAAGGACAGCAATCACACCAAAAGACGTTTCTCGTCCTAGACGAACCACATTTACGCGGCAAGGAAATCAGAAAGCAATAACAAAGAAAGAAGACATAAAATCCAAAGGAGCTGATACTAGCATTTCTAGGAAGGAAGCAAGGAAGGGAAACAAAGAAAATCTTTGTAAGAAACCAATTTGTGCCATTAAAAAGTTTAAACAAGACAGAATAAGTGAAGATAGTTTAGATGGATCAATTTCTAGATCACCAATTCCCACACATATTTCATCTACTAACAGCCTTCACCAAAAAGCCCTTAACACACCAGAGCTACTGGTGAATATCAACACAAAAGCTTTGACCAAATCGACTTGTGTTAAAACCCAAGAAAGGGAGATTTCCACGGCAAAGAGGTTGTTTGTACCTTGCGGTGAAGTTTCTCCAACATGCAACTCCCCAAGTTCTGTCTTTGGATCTCCTAACCTCACTGTCGACACGCCGACAGTAGAACTGCTTCCATGCAAAGAGCATGGCATAAATACAGGGGAAGAGCCATCGAATACTGGAAAGGGAAAACATGACAGAATGAGTCAAGATAGCCTGGATGGGTTAATTTCTGTCATTAACACTACAACTGTAACAAAGGAGAAACCAGTTAATGACATCACCCCAGAAGGACGGACTTCCACAGGAAAGAGGCTGTTTACACAGGAAAGTGGAGTCTCTCCAACACAAGATGCTAGCTTTCAGTCCCCTAGCGTTTTGCCAGCAGATACGCCAATGAGAGAATTGTTTGCACGTCGGGCAACTCTGACCGTCACCAAGGAAAGGCCATCCGACACACTCCTGCAGGTCACACAGAAAAATCTCTCGTCTCACTTGAATACAGAGGACACTGCCGTTGCTTGTGACATTAAGGTTCACAATTTGTCTAATGATTCACCAAGACTGCTTACAGTCGTACCCGAGGAGAACCCTGAGCGATGTGTGTCAATTTTATTAAAAAATAGTCCAAATTTACACTCAATGGGCCTCACTCCCACTGATGTCAGTGTCAATAGTACCAGTAGTTTTACAAAGACTCCTCACCAGCTGCCTACCAGCCCAAACCCTGACAATTCACGACGGTCTACACATGTAGTGGAGAATCCAAAGGTCCTTGACCTTAGCATCGTTGGTAGAAAGCGTCTGTTTCCACCACTCGAGGATCCTGACGATGAAGCTGCCATTCAAACAGACAACTTGACAACAAAAATGGGCGTTGCTTCTCAGAGTACAAACAGGGTCAATCCAATAACGATTGACCATCCTAACAAAGTTACAGTGGATATCAAGAGCATCACACAACAAACTAATGAAGAAAAATCCCTCGGTGCAAATGACCCAATTAGCATTAATGATATTTCTATTGAATCAAAACCTGTAGAATCTTGTGAACCCAAAACGGGAAGAGAACAACAGCTAAAAGGTGATAATGCTTCAGACAGTCCGGCCACAGACAAAGCAGTGACAGTTCCTGAAGAGAGGAAACCCTATGTTGCCTTTATAACAGGTTCTCCAGATCCTGTCATCCCCGCTGCCAAAAAATCTGTAATGGCCAACAGAGGAAAGGAGATGGTGAAGAAACGAACTCACAGTGAAACCAGAGGTGTTAGTGAGACCAGCAACAAGAGGCTGAGATCTACAGGGTCTATACAGACTGGTGTGTTGGGGATGACTGTCCCTACATTGTCCCGTCCCACCACCAAACTCAGACAGGCCATGGCCACTAAAGACGACACCAAGACAAGTAAGTACAGCATCCAGATAAATACAGAGGATATAACTAAAGCAAGGTTTGGATGTTCAGCCACTAAAAAGTCACAGAAAGTTCAGGGTATTCCTACTGTTGTCAAATTAATTGATGTGTTTGATATCATTATTTGATATTGATTTTCATGTTGACACCATCCCTGTAACAGTTGGGGGGACCCCAAATATTTAACTGACTTGACTGATATTCCTATTTGAACTTTGATGAGTATTATTTTCTGCTTGGGACCCTAGTGTACATCACAATATATTGCAATACAGAAAGAATATACTGTGATATATATACCAATATACTGTGATATGTATACCAATATACTGTAATATGTATCTCGATATACTGTGATATGTATACCAATATGCTGCGATATGTATCTCGGTATACTGGGATATGTATACCAATATACTGTGATATGTATCCAGATATACTGTGATATGTATACCAATATACTGCGATATGTATCACGATATACTGTGATATGTATAACAATATACTGTGATATGTATCTCGATATACTGCGATATGTATACCAATATACTGTGATATGTATCTCGATATATTGTGATATGTATACCAATATACTGTGATATGCATCTCGATATACTGTGATATGTATACCAATATCCTGTGATATGTATCTCGATATACTGTGATATGTATACCAATACACTGTGATATGTATCTCGATATACTGTGATACGTATACCAATATACTGTGATATGTATCTCGATATCCTGTGATATGTATACCAATATACTGTGATATGCATCTCGATATACTGTGATATGTATACCAATATGCTGCGATATGTATCTCGGTATACTGGGATATGTATACCAATATACTGTGATATGTATCTGGATATACTGTGATATGTATACCAATATACTGCGATATGTATCACGATATACTGTGATATGTATAACAATATACTGTGATATGTATCTCGATATACTTTGATATGTATACCAATATACTGTGATATGTATCTCGATATGCTGTGATATGTATACCAATATACTGTGATATGCATCTCGATATACTGTGATATGTATACCAATATACTATGATATGTATACCAATATATTGTGATATGTATACCAATATACTGTGATATGAATCCCGATATACTGTGATATGTATACCAATATACTCTGATATGTATCTCGATATACTGTGATATGTATAGCAATATACTGTGATATGTATCTCGATATACTTTGATATGTATACCAATATACTGTGATATGTATACTAATATACTGTGATAGGTATCCCGATATCCTGTGATATGTATCCCGATATACTGTGATATGGATACCAATATACTGTGATATGTATACCAATATACTATGATATGTATACCAATATATTGTGATATGTATACCAATATACTGTGATATGAATCCCGATATACTGTGATATGTATACCAATATTCTGTGATATGTATCTCAATATACTGTGATATGTATACCAATATACTCTGATATGTATCTCGATATACTGTGATATGTATGCCAATATACTGTGATATGTATCTCTATATACTGTGATATGTATACCAATATTCTGTGATATGTATCTCAATATACTGTGATATGTATACCAATATACTATGATATGTATCCCGATATACTGTGATATGTATCTCGATACACTGTGATATGTATACCAATATACTGTGATATGGATCTCGATATCCTGTGATATGTATACCAATATACTGTGATATATATACCAATATACTGTGATATGTATACCAATATACTCTGATATGTATCCCAATATACTGTGATATGTATCCCGATATACTGTGATATGTATCCTAATATACTGTCACAGGGAAAAAGTGCTCAATTTAAAAAGAAACTTGTCAGAATGATATCGGACCAAATCATATATATCATATGGATATTTTACTGGCATGTGTATAACAGTCGACAAATCTAAAAGACAGTGGATACATAAAAAGTAAGCATTTGAGAAATTTTACAATAGAGCAATATTTCATTTCTGTATGTGATGTGATACAATATTAATGTGCCAGTATATTAAGATACACTGGTTTTTATACGCCCGTCAAATTTGACGGAAGTATTATGGTATGGGGTTGTCCTGTCGGCCGTCCGGCGTAAACTTTTATTTGTCCGGCAATCTCCTCCTACATTTTCGACCGATCTCTTTGAAACTTGGTATACATTATAATCATGATATGAAGTTGTGTCTCCCTTAAAAAGTTATTGCCCTATGCTCATTTCAGTATTTGTTTTTTTGTCCGGAGATTTTCTCCTTCCTTTTTTTATAGCATGTCAGCTAATCACTCTTAGAATGATGCAGATCTTATTTCAATGTTAGAAAGTTTATAACACTATATGCCATTCGACGGGCGTATATTGTTCCGCCCCCAGGCCTCTTGTTCAATATATTGTGACAGCCTTAATTTATGACGTAATCTGATCCAAACAGGCGTACCACAGAAACCCTCCAATAGAACTAAGTGTGCAGGGAAAGGTTTGGCCCAGACCAAACTCATCCTAATGAAGAGGACACGCCCAACAGGTAAACACATCTTCATCACCAACAGACCTGTTAAGTCTATGCATTCTGTATCACTTAATCAAAGTTAGCCATGTAAAAAGTATTCTGCAACAATTAAAAATGCATATAGATCTGAAAGACAGAAGAATTTGTTTGAATTTTATTGTCATATTTTCTTTTATGAAATAAGAATGTGCAACAAAAAAAATGGTTGTTTTTGTGCATCATCCATTCATAAACAATTCACATTTTCAACTTTTTCTCAAAAACTGCTGAACCAATTTCAATAAGATTTCTTGTGCTTCAATGGCCAAACACAAACCAAAATTGCGAATCATGTGGATTCTAACCCCTGGTAGCCGGTGGAGTGGGACATATACTAGAGTTTGAGGTCAAAATACAAAAAAGTATGCTAAATTTCATCAATCGTCTGATATCAAAGACCCAGACCAGACATGCTATCTAGAATCAAATACTTTCTGTGGATGGAAAGGTCCTGTAATTACATATATAAGATGCTAGATCAGAATTTTAAAGATCATTATCTGACACTTTGGGGTATATTACATTTATCTGTAGTGGGAACTTGATTCAAATTTAATCATGTGGATTGCAGTTTGATGGTTTGAAAATTAAGTTCTTGACACACTTGAACTTTTTCAAGAATTCCCTGTTTTTTTGGTTTTTTTTACTATTTAAGATAACTAAGAGCACATATTGATTATTGTTCTACTCAACATGTATTTTATTACGCCTTCAGCCTTGCCAAAGCACCCAATGCCCTTTGCATCCAAAAATATGTACTACGACGAGCGATGGATTGACAAACAGGAGCGGGGATTTGTACATTGGCTCAACTTCGTGCTAACACCTGCCGATGAGTATCAGCACAACAACAAACGAGTGAAAGGTTTGTAGTAGACACTTCTCCATTAGGTCATGTCAAAACTAGGGCCTTCAGGTTTAAAAAAAGATGGCATAGACATTTATAATAAAATGAGTATCTTGAAGTTGAAAAATACTCAATTTTTCATGGGTTATTAATAAAGTAACATTAGTTGAATCACATTTTCCTGGGTTTCCCAGGCAAATAATCACAAACATACCTGGCCCTGCTTGTATAAAACATCTCAAGTCTAAGATTTCCTATAGACCATACATTGCTTGAGATTTTCCTCCACTTTGAGATGTTTTATACAGGTGGTCCCAGAACCCCTAGTTCCATTACGGTATATAATAGAAGTATATCAATATAACTTTCAACTTCTGTAAACAATGGAGATAACCTAATATCAATAGATAAAATAATAGCTGGAGTTTGCATTGATAATTCTGATTCTGAGAATTAAAGCTATTATTCTGTCCATTGCTATTGTACTTATGTTCTGTGACATTAAACAAAGACATTTTTTTTCGCTGTGAAGACATTTTCTGCTGTGGCGAGATATAGAGGACAACTTTTTGAGCAGTCCACAATGGATTACATGTGACTTCGCAAAGCCATACAGTATGAAAACAATGAATCAGTTTTCTTCACTTCAAAAAGCAAATACATGAAATTTATCCCTGGCCGAGTAAAAATATATTGCAATACCTTCAGCATTTGAGAGGAAATCAAAATATGATTTCATATTTCTGACTTCAGTTGATGCGGGAGCTCTGTGTGTAGAGGCCAGTCGGAGCAATATTAAACTGGCACCAAGCAAAGAGGTTTTGTCTATCCGTGCCTACACTGCAAGACGCCGACTCAACCAGCTTCGTCGGAGTTCTTGTAATCTGTTTCAGACAAAGGAGATCGTCCATGTGATTCAGAAACTTGAGGCAGAGATTGAAAGTCTCCGACTAGTAATTCGCAAAGACAAGAAAGTGCATGCGGACCTCGGTATGTACCAAGATGCACTGTAAATTACTCTGTTACAATGTATTTTGGGGTTTATTATAATAGAATCCATCACTATGTGTGGTGTGGACAGAGAAATCCTCACCTGAGGATACGATTAAGTTCAGTTCAACTTCCGATCCAGGGTTGGGATTACTCGGTTTTGCACCATGCCATTATCAATAGCGTTTGAAATGTGAATAAAAAATGATCATGTGATGCAATTGCGATTTGGTGACATTTTCCAAATAAAGGCATCTGTGAGGTGCTTTTTCCCCAGATAGGCTAAGATCAATGATATCTTTAACCTGTAACTGACCAATAATAAAGCTACCAGCTGAATGCTTTTATGTAAACAACGTAATCCATGCAAATAAGGAAAGTAGGATTGACTATGACTGATATTAAATAGCAAATAATCTACTTTATAATACTGCAGCTTTTAAAATAAAATACCCTTATATTTTCAATTTCATATGAAAATTGAAATAACTTTATTTTGGCTGTAAATTATGTATTTTATGGGGCAAGTAGAAATTATCTCTGGGTAAGTGGATTTGTAATGACTGCTTGCCCGGGCAAGTTCTTTGAAATTATTTTTTTACTCCCTTGCATAGTCTTATGTATGCCTGGAAAGTTGCAATTTCAAAAATCACTAATTAAGAAATCAATCAAGAAAATATGTAAATATGATACTAATGGTTTGGTTTTGTAGGTATGAAGCAGAACATTCTGGATATGATCCTCTCCTTCAATCCTCTGTGGCTCAGAATTGGTCTGGAGGTATGTGAACTTTGTTGTACTCTTCTGACAATATCTAGTTCAAATCTAATTTTTCATGGTCAATAATGACACCATTGATTGTTGTAATGTTGACATTTTTCATGTTTTATAGGAACATTGAAAACAATAAAACAAAATAAGAAAAGGTGAAATTGTGTACACTATCAACATTGTTTGTATTTGCATTTGTTGACCAAAACATTAAAATGTATACAATATATTTTGTTATGGTATCCTTGCAGACTGTGTATGGAGAGATGATCCCCATTCAGAACAACAGTGATGTCATCGGTATATCCCGATTTATCGTCACTCGTCTGCTCAGCAATCCAGATATCGCATCAGAGTACTGCCACCCTACTGTGCCACACCTGTATCGTGATGGTAGGTGTTTCTTTATGAACAAAAGTCTAATTAATTCAGCACACTGCCCTCTAATTGGTCAACAATTTCTGCATAATAACTTACTCAAGTACCACCTGATTCTGATGTAACTTGCTCAGTATTTTATGGAAAAACAAATGCTAACTTTGAAGTTGAGCAAAATCTTTGCATAATAAATTAGCATTCTGCAAAGGGGGGGGGGGGGGGGGGGTCAATTTTTGGCAAAAGGGGGCAATCTAATATCTTGTTTTAATGGTTTGAAAAGTTGGCAAAGGAATGCAAATCTTGATATAAATTATATATATAAAGATTTATTTTGGAGGTGTCAAAGGATAGATGTATATTATAAGACTCTTTGATGCCCAGGGATGCAGTATAGGGTAATTCCACCGGAAAATCCTGAGGGTGGAATTTCCCTATCCTACACCTTTGGACATGAAAGAGTATTTTTCTCTCATTCCAATAAATTCATATCCCATATTTGCAAACCATGTTTGCGCAGAAAATTAATCACATCTTTCTAACGTGTACGGTAAATATATCGTAAAAGGTTTTAATCTCATCACGACCCCTTCTTCGCGTTGCGGCATCTGAGAGTTCCAAATTTGTGACAATGTCACGTCATTGTTGAGCCGTTGTGATGTCACATCATGTGAAATGGGGTGTAAGATAGAAATTTCCTACACCCATTTCTTACCCTTGACAGCTCTATCTTACACACAGGGACATGAGAGAAATATGTACATTCATTCAGCTAGAGTAGGATTGTTACCTTCCATTATCTAAAAAAAGACGATGCTTCTGTCTAGTAATATAGGGAACACTTTTTTTGCCAGGATGATGGTCAAACATTGTATGACATTATATTTGTGGTTTGTAGGCTATGCTGAGGCAATTGCACAACATTTGATGAAGAAGTTTTTTATGTTGATCTTCTTCCTGGACCAAGCCAAATCTAACAGACTCATCAACCATGATCCCTGTCTCTTCTGTAAAGACTCAGAGTTCAAGGTGAGAAGTGTTTTTGTATAGTTGAATCACAAAAATAAGAACGATCTGAATCTTCTTTTAATGGACATACTAAAGATTAAACACATGATTATTATTAGCTCACCTGGTCTGAAGGACTATAGTGAGCTTCTGCCGTGGCTCAGAGTCCGTCGTCAACTTTTTCTTTAAAACATATCCCCTCCTAAACGCCAAAGAGGATTTCAACCAAATTTAGTCTGAAGCATCACTAGGGGAGGGCAATCATTTCTTAAATAAATGAGGTTGGTTCGATCCCTGAGGCCAGGGGGCAGGGCCCTGAAAGGGAACTTAGCGAATTTTGCTTTATCGCATCTCCTCCTAAACACCAAAGAGGATTTTAACCAAATTCAGTCTGAAGCATCAGTAGGGACAGGCATTTATTTCTTAAATAAATAAGGGTTTGCAGAGCTCACGCTGTGGGTAGCCAAAGTAGCCATTGGCTACTTTTATTTTTTATTGGCTACTAAAAATTCGATGTGGCTACTAAATTGACTACTTAGTTTTTTTAAATGGGGAAACTCTGTATCTTTGTCCCAGAGAACGATCCGTCCACTCGAGCTCACGTGTGTATTGTGGCTGACACTGATTGCGTAAACATAATCAGGGCCGTCACAGATCAGCGCGCGCTGTACGACTGCGAGTTAGTTAATGCTTTTGTCTAAGTTGTAAAGTCAATTATCAAGCTTCAGATGACAACAGGTGTTATAATTCTTGTACAATAATGGACAGTGGGGTCAAGTTAATTGGATGATCCATTGACGTTGAGAAAACAGTCTGATAAGCATGTCACACATAGGTGGTCTCACACACGTACATTTGACGGCGTCGTAAGTCGATCTGATAAACTCGTTCAAACACCGGCTCCAACAAATTTATAGGTTCAGTATATTTAAATTAGTGTACATGGTTTTCATTTACCTTTTCCAGTACCATAGAAAGCATAAATACTTCCGATGTGCTTGATTAGAAAGTATAAGTATCGCCTTGAAACACCATGTCGAAGTGCCGATTTTCGGCCTTTCAGATCACTTCAATCGATAGGCCCTATATCGTATCTGACTGTGTACCTTCGTGGTTAGACATTTTAGAATTTCAAGTGATCGAGAAAAAGTTATTTAGCATCGCAGTTATGCGGTTTTTAGAACAGCAAACCGTTCAGAATTACTTCGACGGTCGCTTGTATTAGGTGCCAATCGACGACACGTGCACGGGAATGGCCAAGTTGCGCGACGTGATGTGCTCCTGATTTATTTCGAAGGGTTTGTCAATACCGTTATAAATTCGTCCATTTCCTTTCAAATGTGTTCTACTGCCATTTACATTTGAAATGTGTGATCTTTTTAAATATATTCATGTATTTTTTTTACTTAAAACATGAATAACGGAAAAATAATTATCAATATTGCATCACTGAGGCTACTTTTTATTTGGATTTTATTAGTTTTATTTTTTGATTGAAGGCATGGAATTAAAGGCAAATAATATCTTAACATTTAAACTTTTCAGCCTAGATTTTTTCACAATTCCTGTGTCAAGAAATGAGATAAAGTCTGAAAAAGTCTCCCTTTTGAAAAAAAAATGTTCTGGTGGAAATTTTCAGCATTTTAATTTAAATCATATTTTCTTAAAATTTCAGCCATAAAATCTGACAGGATTAAAAAAATATCACATTATGAATTAAATTATAAACATGATGTATAACAAAAAAAAAAATTAACAGAGTACTACTTAATTTAACATCATATTGAATAGTTGCACTTCAAAAAATATTAAATATTTAATGATTTTAATGGAGGGCCTATCCGTAACGGTTGGAGGCCGAGAAAGTATGGCCACTGTTTAAAAAAAAATGGCAATTAAAATTCAAACATGGCTACTTTTTTGGCTACTGATTTTTTAGGTCCAGGGTGAGCCCTGGGTTTGTTCAACCCCTGAGGCCTGGGGGGCAGGGCCCTGAAGGGGAATTAGCTAAATTTGCTTTAAAACGCATTCTCCTAAACCCCAGAGACGATTTTAACCAAATTTGCTCTGAAACCTATTGGTGGAGGGCAATCATTTCCTAAATAAATGAGGTTGGTTCGACCCCTGAAGACAAAGGGCGGAAGGGGAACTCGGCTAAATTTGCTTTAAAACACATCTCCTTCTAAATGCCAGAGAGGATTTCAACCAAATTTAGTCTGAAGCATCAGTAAGGGAGTGCAATAATTTCCTAAATAAATGAGGTTGGTTCGTACCCTGAGGCCAGGGGGCGGGGCCCTGAAGGGGAACTTAGCTAAATTTGCTTTAAAACGCATCTCCTCCTTAACACCTGCGGTCCTAAGAAATGGTACAGCTAGGTTATCATATTCTATGATGTAGTTTTCATAAATTGTTAAAAATTGGTTTCTAGGTTTATAAAAGCTGATAGTTGAATGAAAATTAAGGTATTGTCGAATTACACCCTGTAATATGACATTACTTATTTCAAAATCTGTTAACATGGCAACTCAATAGAGGCCCCTGGTTAGTTGAAAGTCAGATATTGTGGTCCCAGTCGGGTTAGAACATAGATCTTGTCTGGTTTTGAGGAAATTTCATATAAAGATGTACTAATGCATTCAGTTGTAATGACTTGTATATAAAACAAGGTGAGCGATACAGGTCCAATGTACCTCTTGGTAGCCCTAGCTAGGGGAATGCAAATTCCTTTGTATAAAGGGGAGTTTATTATACACATCAGACAAACTTTTGTCTTTAAAAAATTGCTGTCGTCTGCCCCTGCTGTTGGCCATGTTGATTTCCATATATTTTTTATATGTGATATCATATTACATGCATGGGGAGAAAGTTTAATGAAAATCCGAGCTTTCCTTCAAGGATTTCCATATCACTTTTTATAACAAAGTGACCACTGGCAGAGTTACCGCAAGGAAACCACTTGAGTGGACAATGCTGACTGATTGATCCATGGAGACAGAAAAATAAACACAATCAACAGGAATACTATACTTAAATTTTAGGTCTTCTGTGACGAAGTCCTGTATGACTTATTTATTGTGGTCACCTTTTGTGAGTTGTCGGTTGTTACACAATTGACATATTAAACTTCTTAAACAACACTCTACTGACTCCCTGGCCTCCCCCTCCCTCCCCNCCTCCCCCTCCCCCTCCTCCCCTTGACCCGAAAAGCAGGGTCAAAAAGGGTCAAATTTGCTGAAACTCAAAAACAAGGTGAGCTTATGCCATACCGCAGCGTCCGTCGTCCGTCAACTATACACTACTTGTCATGATCCACTGAGCGGATTTTAACAAATTTAGTGTGGAGCATCCTTGGGTGAAGAAGAACCAATTTTGTATGAATGGTGGGTCTGGCCCCCCAGGGGCCTGAGGGGCGGGCCAAATGGGGGAAATATAGCAAATTATTCTTTAAAATTATTCTTCTTCTGTAGGAATGAAAGGATTTGGTTCATATTTGGTCAGAAGCATCCTTGGGGGAAGGGGAACAAAGTTTGTATAAATGGTGGGTCAGGCCCCCCTGGGGGCTGATGGGCGGGGCCCAATAGGGGAAATATAGCAAATTATTCTTTAAAATCTTTCTTCTTCTGTAGGAATGAAAGGATTTGGTCAGAAGCATCCTTGGGTGAAAGGGAACCAATTTTGTATAAACCGTGGATCTTGCCCATCAGGTGCCTGAGGGACGGGGCCAATTAGGGGAAACATAGTAAATTATTCTTTAAAATTCTTATTCTTCTGTAGGAACGAAAGGATTTGGTCCATATTTGGTCTGAAGCATTCTTGGGTGAAGGGGAACCAATTTTTTATACACTGTGGATCTGGCCCCCCCAGGTGCCTGAGCCGTGGGGCCCAATAGGGGAAATATAGCAAATTATTCTTTAAAATCCTCCTTCTTCTGTAGGAATGAAAGGATTTGGTCCATATTTGGTGTGGAGCATCATTGGGTAGTGGGGAACCAATTTTGTATAAACGGTGGGTGTGGCCCCTCTGGGACCTGAGGGGTGCGGCCCAATAGGGGAAATAGACGTAAATCTTCAAAATCCTTCTTCTTCAGTAGGAATGGCAGGATTTTGTCCATATTTGGTCTGAAGCATTCTTGGGTGAAGGGAAACCAATGTTGTATAAACGGTGTGTCTGACCCTGCTGTAGGCAGAGATGTGGGGCCCAATAGGGAAAATAGAGGTAAAACCTTTAAAATCCTTCTTCTACCAAAGGGATTAAGGGATTTGAACCTGATTTAGTCTGGAGCATCCTTGGGCCAAGGGGACTCAATTTTTGTATTAGCAGTAGGTGTGGTCTCCGAGGGGGGGGGGGCAGAAGGGTGGGACCAAATAGGAAAAATAGAGGTAAAACCTTTAAAATCCTTCTCCAACCATTGGGATTAAGGGATTTTATTCATATTTAGCGTGGAGCATCCTTTGGTGACTGTGACTCAATTTTGTATAATTGGTGGGTATGACCCCCGTAGGGGCATAGGGGTGGGGCTCTGTTTGAAGTTTGTTCTCTATATCTCAAGTACTAGATGGATCTTTCTGAAATTTCATATGTACTAACAGCACTTACCATGGAGTGCTTTATCTTTACTTCATACCAATTACTTTAATTATATTCAGGTGAGCGATACAGGCCCTCTGGGCCTCTTGTTTACTTTCCTAGAACAAATCAAATTCACTAAATTTGTTGAGTTAAAGGTAAATAAATATCAGTCTGTTTTTAACCATGATTATGAGTACTTCTGCTGTGCAGCATAAAAACACAAAAAAAGTATTTTGATTTAGTAGAATAACTATTTATGATAGCTATGTATTAATCCAGATTGCACAAGGGATGTTGATGTATGTTTCAGTCAACCAAAGCAATGCTGATACAGTTCTCTCGAAACTACCTCAGCGGGGAAGGTGACGTCACCAAGCATCTTGGTTACCTTGGTTACGTGGTGACTCATCAACAGACTTCAATGGATGAGTTTGACTATGCTGTCACCAATCTGGCCACTGACCTTCGTGATGGCATCCGGCTGACGTAAGTCACTTTTTCACCAATTGTAGTTGTAGTGACTAAAAGTTTGTTAACATATTGCAGTAGTCTCCTTTGATCTTCGGTCCTTTAAAATAGAAGGTCAACAACATCTAAATGTCATTTATCATCTTTAACTCTTAATTTTCAAAAGGAAAACACCGCCTTTAAGCTTGTTTTCTTTTTATAATTTGAAAATGAACTACCAAGAGTTTAATGAGCGATAGTCACCTATTGTGGGAAGTATTTTTACCACAATTTTTTGTGACATTGTGGAGTGATCGACATTGTTGTTTAGGATGAGTCGGTGTTTAGGAATCAGTTGATCAGTTTGCTACTGTATTCGATTTTCAACAAAATGCCAAGACAGGCATGTTATGCACCTGCTGTGTGGTAATAGTCTTTTAGAATACAAGAACGCATATTTTGTTTGTGGTTTGAAGAGTTTAGACAATGAGTATTTGAAATCTTCATCGTTTCTTTTCCTTGAGATAACTTTTTATCTGCCACTTCTTCAGACTATCCAATTAAGTAGTTATTGTCATTTTAAAAAGTCAAGAAACTTTTTCATATATAAAACAGAAATCACCTTCTGTCAAGCCAAGGTTGAGAGCAATGGTAACAAATACTAGAATTATGTTGGTTTTTGTTGACAGCCGTATACTGGAGTTACTTACTAACCACTGGGATCTGTCCAAGAAACTCAGAACTCCAGCCATCAGCCGACTCCAAAAGGTTCACAACATGGAGGTGGTGTTTAAGGCACTCACTACACAAGGTGTGACCTTTGACAATGGTGAGTCGACTGACTATATACAATCCAGCAATGTCTGTAATACTCTTACAACAGACTGACTATATACAATCCAGCAATGTCTGTAATACTCTTACAACAGACTGACTATATACAAT